TTTTAGCACCAATTGTTTAATTCGCTACTTTTCGAGATCTTAATTTATCTAGTAGGTGGACATCGCAAACGGTGCCTGTAAATAATCTGTTGGCAGAGTCAATTTTCTTCAAGCTCCAGAATATAAATATGCTTATCGGCACAGATACGTTTTTCGAACTTGTATCATTTGGGGAGAAATAGCTTTTTGTAGGAAATTCAGATGACGTTGTTGACTAAGCCAATTTCTTTGGCCAATCTGCACGACATTTAAAATACCTGCGGTAGAGATTTGCGTATATAGGAAAGAGTGGATGGTCCAGCTCTGTGTTGACCACCATGGATCAAGAAGAACTGTCCAAAATATTAAGTTGCAATATCAACAGCGTCGATATTTAATAAAATCTTATTGGCTCCAGCTTCATCGATCTCAGAGTTAATGTAATTAAGATTATCAATCAAATTAATAAGTTCAAAAATAAAACCCGATAAATGAAATCTTATTGGCTCCAGCTCTCGCCTTACACTAAACTGCAAAATAAATTAAAATTTAAAAAGCGCACCATCTGAAGGGACGACGTCCTTCAGAACAGCAGAGTCAAAGGAGTCAGCCGATGGACAGCTCGCCAGATCCTCCCTGGTGGTCCTCGGGGACGACGACTCCCAACTTTGCCTCTTTCTGCAGGCTGTGCGACTCGTGACCAATAATGCCAAAGCCTGTGACTAAGACACGAGACACCGCGCCATAGTCGTGAGCAAGTTAGGTTGATTTGGACCGGGAGCGCTGCTGATGCTGAAGATATTTTATAACAAGGGGACGCCGATTAAAAGACGCCCGGGGGTCAGGGCATCGCCGTCGCTTGGATCGCTTCCGAGTGCCTCATGGAGCCTGGAGAGTTTCGAGCTCCTACGCGGTTAAGACGTACCGCTCTCTCCTTCTGCGGCGCCCGGTACTCTCTGAAGTAGGGATCGGCGACGAAGATCGTCGCGTTGTCGCACACCACCTTTTTCGGAATTCAGTGACGTTTATCGAACTTTTAAAAGGCCAACAAAAACGCATCATGTCATACACGAATTCCAAGAGGACCGTCCTGGACGGTGGTTCACCAGGGTTACGATATGTAGTTACAAAATGTAAGTCTATCCGCTCGTAAGTTGGCGTCAAGAGTTGCGGCTGGCAGCAAAGGAAACGCATGCACGAGCGATCTGTGCGGCGAGAGACTTCTTGAGCGTTGAATAACCATATTTTTAATAATAATGTCGACAAACACAATTCTAATTTATTCTCCTGATCTTGTGAAATTGTATAAATTCAACAATTATGTCAAAAACAAAATGTAGTTTTCTAACCGTAAAAATAATATGGTGGTAATATGGCTGCAACACATTCTTGCTCAGAAGTTTCAAGTTCAAAATGTCAATATACATACCAATTAACTTCTGGGTCGAGCAAAAACGAAGGCCCAGCGAAATTACATTTTATGGTCCTCAAAACCTTATCTTGGGGGCCGTGGGTTAATAGTTTTTGTTGAAACATCTCGCTAAACTGCTTTTTCCGATCAATCCTAAATCTCTGTGACCTGTTTTGAGACCAAAAACAACGAAGGGTGGGATTTGAACAAGTGTAACAACAAACAAGTGTACAAGTAACCTTGTAGTGAGTTTATTAAAAAACTTTCTCAAAGGACGATTAACAATCTGACTTGATTAAGAAAATCTGCTAAAACATTTTGCCTAAAGTCGATTTGTGGGTTCACTAAGGCACTTCGCCCAGAATTAAACATAATTAAACAGTGACGTTTGCAGTTTATGGCGACGAGTGCACGGACAAATTGCAAGGCATTTTTAATTGAAGGGTGGGTGTCATGGTGGAATATCTTGGTTAATCCTGCGAAGTCTCAACATGCCAGTTTTCCTCTGAACAGGCTGAACACATGGACGGAGTTCCAATCAAGCACTCTGCTAGCTTGGGCCTACCTTAGCCAGGCGACTTACCTGGAAACAGCATAAGATGGCTCCTTCGTCCGAATTGATATTTTTTAAATATAAATCTTTTTAAAAAGCAATTTTCAACTGCTTTATTTAAGCTGGGGCTGTGGTAAGCTTTACCATCGATGCAGATTTAAAATTAACTGGCTTTACATCACCGAATAATTTTGGTTTCATTTATAGATCAATTTTACCAACATGAATCTTTTGGAGAACCTTGTGACAACTATAATAGCTTGTATAATATTTTCTTATTTAAAATTATTTAAATTAATATGTCATGAAATGTCAGATTTGTAATCTAATCAATAGTGTTTCATTGTTAAAATAAGCTTGTGTCAGATAATCATCATTAATAAAATAAATAAATAGTAGTTTTATGGTTTATACATATGTAACATTTTTGTTATAGCTTCAAAGGTATTTAAACTTTGGCTTGCCGATGCTAGCCTATTTTTATACCCTTGCAGAGGGTATTATAATTTCAGTCAAAAGTTTGAAAAAAAGTTTAAAGCTATTTGCTTGAAACTTTCCCAAAAGTTGTTTTTCTATTGCAGGTAGTATATAAGTCGGAACGAGCCGGATCGGGCGACTATATCATATAGCTGCCTATAACTGAACGATCGGAAAAGCCATAACGTTGGTGTTTTTAAAGTTAGGAAGTTGGGATTTTCTATAAGTTTTATTTTTGGCCAATTAATATGACCTACCGAATTTCATAAGGATCGGACGACTATATCCTATAGCCGCCATATAACTGATTGATCGGAAATGCCATAACTTGGGTGTTTGTAAAGTTAGGAAGTTGGGATATTCTATGGGTTTTATTTTTGGCCAATCAATCCGACCTACCAAATTTCATAAGGATCGGCCGACTATATCCTATAGCTGCCATATTACTGAACGATTGGAAATGCCATAACTTTGGTGTTTATACCCGTTACTCGTAGAGTAAAAGGGTATATTGTATTCGTGCAAAAGTATTTTAAAAATTTAAATATTTCGGAAAAGTAAAAATGCAGTTTTATTGTGTTTATCAATACCTATCGAAATGTAGAAGAAATTTTTCAAATCGGACCATTCGTTAAAAAGTTATGCGTGATCAAAATTTCTATCTCCATCTCCCTCGCACTCCCTTTACCTGAGTAACGGGTATCTGATAGTCGGGGCACCCGACTATAGCGTTCTCTCTTGTTTTAAATTTAGGAAGTTGGGACTTTTTATGAGTATTAAGAATACATCATATGAATAATTTTGAAGAATATAATTTACAGAATATTCTGCAAGGGTATATCAACTTCGGCTCCGTCCGAAGTTAGCTTTTCTTTCTTGTTATTTTTTATACCCTTGCAGAGGGTATTATAATTTTGGTCAAAAGTGTGCAACGCAGTGAAGGAGACATCACCGACCCTATAAAGTATATATATTCTTGATCAGGATCACTTCCTGAGTTGATATAGCCATGTCCGTCTGTCCGTCTGTCTGTCCGTCTGTCTGTCCGTCTGTCTGTTTCTACGCAAACTAGTCTCTCAGTTTTAAAGCTATCGAATTGAAACTTTGCACACACCCTTCTTTCCTTTGCACGCAGTATATAAGTCGGAACGGCCGGGATCGGCCGACTATATCCTATAGCTGCCATATAACTGATTGATCGGAAATGCCATAACTTTCGTGTTAGTAAAGTTAGGAAGTTGGGATTTTCTATGGGTTTTATATTTGGCCAATCAATCCGACCTACCAAATTTCATAAGGATCGGCCGACTATATCCTATAGCTGCCATAAAACTGATTGATCGGAAATGCCATAACTTTGGTGTTTGTTAAGTTAGGAAGTTGGGATTTTCTATGGGCTTTATTTTTGGCCAATCAATCCGACCTACCAAATTTCATAAGGATGGGCCGACTATATCTCATAGCTGCCATATAACTGAATGATTGGAAATGCCATAACTTTGGTGTTATTAAAGTTAGAAAGTTTGGATTTTTTATGAGTATTAACAATGCATCATATGAATAATTTTGGAGAATATAATTTACAGAGTATTCTGCAAGGGTATATCAACTTCGGCTCCGCCCGAAGTTAGCTTTCCTTTCTTGTTAAAGTTATTTTTAATAGAATGGGGTATTACCAAATTCTTTATCTTTAGTGAGTATTGCTCGACGCTAACAGCGTCACATATCGGAGTTATGCCGATTACATGCAGTCATATATAAAACAAATCGAACTTAAGAAATGTTAATCAAATTAGAATAGGGATTTAATTTTTTTATCTTAAAAAAATTCTACTGTGCCAAATCATTATCTTAAGAATAGGCTGAAAGAAACAGCATAGAACCATATGGCCAGTATGGCAAACACATGACAACAGAGTCATCTGATTTTTATTTAAGACAAAAACAGCAAGAAAAAAAAAACTTTTTGCAAAAACGGCAAAATTAATTAAACTGTTTCTACGGTAACACCTGTAAGTATTCGTCTGATCAGAGGCTTTTTTAACTCGATCTGCGTTTACATATAAAAAGACGATTGCGAAAGTTTCAATTCTAGCCTTTAAACTGAGTTCGTCAGCGGTATAGAAACAGACGGATAGACCGAAATCGGTTTTATAACTCGGCTACTGTTGCTGATCAAGAATAAATATTTTAAGGGTCAAAAATGTCTCCATCAATCAAAATTGTAAAAATATTGCAGTAAAGATTAAATTTAAATTAAGTACTTTACCATTATTTTAAATGATTTGGGTAGAAAAAAGTTTTTTATTCAATAGCTCCAAGCTAAGTGAAATAATAGGTCAAGCAAATTGTGAGAAGTGGATTAGGACCCCTGATCTATCTTTAACTGGGACAATTTGACTTCAGTTTCAGTCCAAAATTATTATGTAACGGAAAGAAACTTTGCCACAGTTTTACTAAAAAATACCACACAGCAAGTGCAGTGCCACCAAACCAAATTTACTGAAACGTAACCAAAACACGTTGTATGCATATATTCCTGTAACACCGGTCTCTAGTTGTGACGTTGAGCAGAGCCCAAAAGCTTACCCAACGTTCAGTTTGTTTCAGTTAACCCGCGGAGAAACTTCGAAACAACAAGAGCTTAAGCTTCAATGAAAAGTGAAAAGTCGTAGTGTTTGTTGGTTTATTTTGTTTTATCGGGCTCAGAGTCAATGTGCTAATAAGATTAACTGCTTAACGGTATCGCGTCAGTAGCACTCATTATTGTTTTGAAATTGGACAACGAGTGCATATGCTTATTCTATGTGCGGTCGATTGCTTTGCCTTTTATATTTGGTTATGATTCGCGTTTATTATTACCATATTAAAACGGAATATATAATAATTCGTTTGCATTAGTGAAAGTGTGGTAATAGCTTTGTGTACATCGGAGCTAAGCAGTTGCAGAAAGAGTGTTACAGATCTCGGAGACATGCCAATGCATATGCATATGGGCTTAAAGTGCAGCAAAATATAAAACAAAATTAACTTAACACTGTGAAAAGTTAATCCATAAATTTGAATAAGTCGTTAATCTAAAACCAATCCTACTTCCCCGACTCATAAGAGCTCACATTAAAATTTGTTATGAGCCAGCTGAGATAAGATGTAAGAGATGATTGTGGATTATGAATTTTACGTTTTTTCGAAATTATCAATTTTGTATGTCCATATGGGTAAAAAGGCTGAATTTGAATACCAGATTGATTGTCGTTTTTTTTCTCTTCGCGAAAAACTGATGCGCTTAGAATGGCAATGTTATATGTTTGATTTGGGGAATAAGCATTTGCGAATAATCATAAGATGAGCATACACAGAGAGCAGAAATTAAAAACCAATGCCATATGGTGGGAACGGAAAAACTGATATTAAGTTGAACCGTATCATTTTTAAGATATTTATTAAGTTCACTTAATAAATCTATATTTGCTCCTTTTGAAGACATTATCCTTATCCCATATTGGATGACTATATCCTATAGCTGTCATATATCTGCTATGCTGACCATATGGTTCTATGCAGTTTATGTCAAAACTGTAAAAGCTATCAACATATTCTTATACCCGTTATTCGTAGAGTAGAAGGCCAAATTGTATTTGTTGGGAAGTACGTAACACGAAGCGTTTCTGACCCTATCAAGGAACCTTTCAGGGTCAATAGGCCAATTAAGCCATGTCCGTATGAACGTCGAGATCGGAAGCTACAAAAACTAGAGTTTTGGGATTTAACATGAAGATTCTAAGTTGTTGTCACTCCCACTCTAACGTCCACAAATCACAAAACTCTTTAGAGATTTAGTAGAAGCCAGATATTGGGTGGAAGATGTCAAAGTCGTGTTAATATCTATTGACACATCAAAAGCGAAATCGCACCATTAATTTAGAAGCTGAACAGTGCAAGAAAACTGCTAGCGAAGGCGGGAGTGATGCTCGCTTTTGCGGTGTTTTCGAAATGCGCAATCAGCTGGGGGCTTATTTATTTTCAAAATTGGTTAGCTAAGTAACTGGTATCTTATAGTAGAAACAACAAACATTTGAGGAACACAATTTTTAAATGCATCTAAAACAATATACGTTTATACAAATCATATAAATTTATATATTTATATATTTTTAAAATTGATTAAATTATCGATTCTAAAGTACTAAAACTATTTAAAGAAAATGATTATAATATTAGCTCTGAAGGAAAATAATTTGTTATTAAATTCAAATTCCGTGTGGTTATATTTTATGTCAAATAAATAATTATGTAGATAATTATCAAATAATTTTATGTACTTATAGTCAATTCGGATTCGCAATTATATGTATTGTTTGTTTCCAAAAGTACGTTTATAGTTGTATTCAAAAAATGTGTTCGCAATACTTGTTTTGGAACCTCTTCAAAAAGTTTGTTATGGAACTTATCCATATGGATAAATAGCGAATGGTTTATATGCATTCTAAAGATGTGTTAAGGAATGCTTGTAAGAGAACGCTTCTTGTTTAACCACTTCCTTCATAAAAAGAAGGAGGGAGAGGCATTCTTTGTGCCAAAAGAAACGATAATTAAAATCATCTGTATTTTACTTCAATTCTTAGGAAGAAAAACACGCATTATAAACGCAGCCTAATAAAGTCTTTAAAAACATTTTGAACGAAGACATCAAAAATCAATTGCACTTATGTATAAAACCCCACTTTTTGACTAATTTCACGACCGACAAAAGCGATACGAAAAGTTACAAGCAAATGTGTTGTAAAGAAGGAGAAAACATTCTAAAAAGTAAACACAGAGATGCGGGACATCCCACTTAATTATACCTTTGCAGAGGGTATTATAACTTTGGTCAAAAGTGTGCAACGCAGTGAAGGAGACATCTCCGACCCTATAAAGTATATATATTCTTGATCAGGATCACCTCCTGAGTTGATATAGCCATGTCCGTCTGCTCGTCTGTCTGTTTCTACGCAAACTAGTCTCTCAGTTTTAAAGATATCGAATTGAAACTTTTCACACACCCTTCTTTTCTTTGCACGCAGTATATAAGTCGGAACGGCCGGGATCGGCCGACTTTATCCTATAGCTGCCATACAACTGAATGATCGGAAATGCCATAACTCTGCTGTTTGTTAAGTTAGGAAGTTGGGTCTCTCTATGGGTATTATATTTCATATTCATATTCATAAGGATCGGCCGACTATATCCTATAGCTGCTATATAACTGATTGATCGGAAATGCCATAACTTTGGTGTTTGTAAAGTGAGGAAGTTGGGATTTTCAATGGGTTTAATATTTGGCCAATTAATCCAACCTACCAAATTTCATAAGGAGCGGACGACTATATCTTATAGCTGCCATATAACTGATTGATCGGAAATGCCATAACTTTAGTGTTTGTTAAGTTAGGAAGTTGGGATTTTCTATGGGTTTTATTTTTGCCCAATCAATCCGACATATCAAATTTCATAAGGATCGGGCGACTATATTCTTTAGCTGCCATATACATAACTGAACGATTGGAAATTCCATAACTTTGGTGTTTTTAAAGTTAGGAAGTTTGGATTTTTTATGAGTATTCAGAATGCATCATATGAATAATTTTGGAGAATATAATTTGCAGAATATTCTGCAAGGGTATTTCAACTTCGGCTCCGCCCGAAGTTAGCTTTCCTTTCTTGTTTTTAAAATATGGTTGGTTGGGTCAAACATTTTCTTAAAATAGAAACAAAAATAAAAAATGAAATTAAATAATTAAAAATCTTATGAATTCGCCACTCAACATAATTTTTTTCTGAATACAAGAAATTTTTTTCTAAGAAAAGAAAATATTTTTTAAATTAAAAAAACATTTTCTTAAATTTAAAAATTTTTGCTTATACTAAAATAGACCTAAAATTTAAGTAAAAATAGTACTTGTTTTCAAAAACTTATTTCTTTAAATAGGAACTCTGGTTCGAATCCCACCGACAAACTAATAAAAATATAAGCTTTTGTTTAGATGGATACTTATCAGAATTTTCTTGTAAGAACTAAAATAAATCATAATTATACACTTGTTTTCATCCCTGTGATTATAGTTGTATTCGAAATGGGCAATTCATAAGTCAATACACAACATTCTATTACACTACTTGTCTACTCAACCCCAAAAAAAAAAGAAGGAAGCTTAAATTTGTGTTAAAATTAAACTACAGACAGTATCAAAGTATAAAGAATATATATAAGTTTATACATAACCCTTATACTTTGTAGTTTCATTTATATACCGATGAGTCTGCAAATCAGGCCGTAGTATTATTTTTATGCCACACACAAATAAATTTTCAGTTTAAAATTAATGCTTATGGCTTAAAGAAAACTACAGGCAATTTAAAGAAATTCAGTATTAATTTATAACCAATTAACATGAAACCTATACTCAGTGGAAGTAATTCAATACTAAGGATTATAAGGTCCATACACTGTAGCTTAAAATTTAACCCGGAGTTTTGATTCTTGTCCCTGGTCCGAAACAAAGACCAAATTTAATTGTTTAAGAATAAGGGAAAATGTTCAAGAGCGAGTGCGCTGATTGAAAATTTTTAACTTATTTGGGGGTGATTTCGCCTACGAAATGTAAATAAATACATACATATAAATACAAAATATATGTATCCATTTACATTTCGTGAGGTCACTCCAATAAATTATATACATGTATAGAATAAACCTTCATGTACATTTTAACAAATACGACAATTATTATTAGCTAGCTATGTCTGAATAAAATTATTTTACTATAATTATAAGAACAAATGTTTATATAAAAAAAATGAAATTAAAATTCGTTCATTCGGACATTTTAATGCTATACATAAACTAATTAAACTGTAAAATATATACTACAGCTCTCAGGAATTAGAATAGGTGTTATACCATATAGTACGAAATGTATACTACACGCTGTCATTGGCGTTATTATTGTTGATATACTAAATAGGATGAAAAATAAACTAGGATTATCAGTATGAGTACCTCTTGCAGAGGGTATTATAATTTCAGTCAAAAGTTTGCAACGCAGTGAAGGAGACATTTCCGACCCTATAAAGTATATATATTCTTGATCAGCCTCACCAGAAAAGTCGATCCATTCGTTTCTAAGCAAACTAGACCTTCAGATTTAAAACTATCTGCTTAAAACTTTCCCAGAAGTTGTCTTTCTATTGCAGAACGAGCCGGATCGGACGACTAAATCATATAGCTCCCATAGGAAAATTAAAAAAATACAAATAAAAAAAATTGTATTTTGCTGTTTTTCTATTTATCAAAATATTCCTTTGAGATATAGTAATTATTTATTTGTTTCTAGAAATGTAGGCATAGAAATCGAAATTTAGGTGTTAATAACTGCAATGGTATATAAACATCGGGTTGCTGAAGAAAAACTCATAAGCCTTAAGTATCTCATAATGGACATTCGAAAATGCTTTTATCTGCGTCACAACATTACACATTAAGGGCATTCAATTATGCTTTTAACTGTGTTAAAAACTTTTTTACATGGTCATTAGCTTGTAAAACAAATAGTTTCAAAAATGGCGGTTCAAAAAAAAAATATAACCCATTACTTTATTTAAAAACGAGGACGGAAGCTAACTTCGGCAAGCCGAAGTTTTAATGCCCTTGCAGACTTTTCCGAAATTGCTAACATTGAAAAAGTGACGAAAAGAATAGGGTATATATAAATAAATTAGATTTGCATAGTTTCATGTCTATAGCTTTTATACTGCAAAAACGTCATAAAAAAATAGAAAAAAAGGGATATTTTCGCCGCCTTTAACAATTATTACTACGGAAGCTATAAGATATAGACGTCCGATCGGCAAGCGCTTTTACCCTGATCAAGATATGCGTAAAAAAATAAGACTTGGAAAAATGTATGTCAATAGCTTATACACTGCGCGAAATATTCTGAAAAACATCAAATTTGGACCGATTTCACCGTATTGTTCCTATGGGAGCTATAGGATATCGACGTCTTTGTATATATATTTTTAGAAATTTGGTTTTAACTTGTTAGCTGTCATCGTCTTCTGATTATTTACATTAATTTTACTTAACGAGTATCCATTATAAATAATAT